ACTGTAAAAAAAAACCACTTATCAGTAAAATACAGAAAAATGAAAAAACATATTTTCAAAATTTTGCTCTGGAAACTTTATTTTGGTCATAAACAAGCTTCTGTCCAAATTTCATAAAATTCCATAAAGGTTTGACAAAGTTATTCATGTTTAAAAAAACTTTAACCACAGACTGAACCTAAATGTTGATGCAAATGACGGAATCTAGGATATGTCTCCCGTTCGCGACATAAATGTCGCAGGCTTGACAAAAATGTATGAGAATATCCTCAGGTGTATAAATATAGTTTGACAAATATAACTGTTGAAAATTCAATAACTATGGAATGATGAACAAGAAAATTTTCAAAAATAATTATAGTATCAGAAACTAGCCAAAACCACAATAAAATGCTCCGCAGGGCGCAGCTTGATACGACCGCAGAGGGCGAACCCTGAACAGTTGGGGCAAGTATGGACACAACATTCAAGCTTGATACAGCTTTGCATTTGGATTGTGATTAAATATTTGACACAGCATAGGTTTCTGACACAGAATGAATGTGGTGTAAGAATTTAAAAATTTTAAATTGGACATTCACCTATTATGGTAGAATATCCAAAATCTAAATACATGGTTAGATTCAGCATATCAAAGAACCCCTTACATTCAATTTTTGTTGAAATCAAACAAAGTTTAATTTTGGACCCCGATTTGGACCAACTTGAAAACTGGGCCCATAATCAAAAATCTAAATACATGTTTAGATTCAGCATATCAAAGAAAGAACCCTAAGAATTCGATTTTTGTTAAAATCAAACTAAGTTTAATTTTGGACCCTTTGGACCTTAATGTAGACCAATTTGAAAATGGAACCAAAAATTAAGAATCTAAATACACGGTTAGATTCGGCATATCAAAGAACCCCAATAATCAATTTTTGATGAAATCAAACAAAGTTTAATTTTGGACCCTTTGGACCTCAATGTGGACCAATTTAAAAACGGGGCCCAAAATCCAAAAACTAAATACACGGTTAGATTCAGCATATATATTAAAGAACCCCAAGAATTCAAGAATAAAACCCCATTGAAATTGGTCAAGAAATAAGCAATTTATACATGGTATCTTATTTTGCACAATACTGTGCAATTAAATATTTCTTGCTATTGCGCAATACTGTGCAATTGAAGATTTCTTGCTATTGCGCAATACTGTGCAATTGAAGATTTCTTGCTATTGTGCAATACTGTGAAATTGAAAATTTCTTGCTATTGCACAATACTTATTATATAATAATTTACACATCCTGTTTGGTGTGTATCTCCTACCATATCATTATTATTTGCTTTTAAATATAAATCAGAAATAACCAACTTAAAATGGAAAAATTTAAAAGAAAAAAAAAAGGAAAACAAGAAAAATAAACTGCTTCGCTGAGCGCAGCTGGATACGCCCGCAGAGGTCCAACCCTGAACAGTTGGGGCAAAAATGGACACAATATTCAAGCTTGATACAGGTCTGAATTTGGATTGTAATTAAATATTTGACATATTATAGGTTTTCTGAATAAATCTAGTCAAAGAACTTGAAATTGGTTATATGAATTGAATTTATATTCAATTAAAGATATCTTGCTGTTGTGTAATACACTGTGCTGTTGCGCAATACTTAGTAAATCTGTTTTCAGACTATAAACAAATAAAGTTCAATTAATTCTCAATGTCATATTAGAAATTTATGAAAATCAAAAGGGAGCTTACATCAATAGATATAAACAATTTACCAAATTTTCATGAGAATTGCTGACAGCATTTTTGAGTTATTGTCCGAAAACTGGAAAATCCCCCCTTTTTTAATGAATAAAACCCCCATAACTCAGAAATGTAAAATGTAAATTTTATAAAATTCTAAAGGGAGCTTACATCAATAGATATAAACAATTCACCAAAGTTTCATAAGAACTGCTGAAATCATTTTTGAGTTTTTGTCCAAAAACTGGAAAATCACCCCTTTTTTATGAATAAAACCCTGTAACTCGGAAACGTAAAATCTAAAATTTATAAAAATCAAAAGGGAGCTCAGGTCAATAGATATTAACAATTCACCACAATTTCTTGCAAGTTGGTGAAAGCATTCTTGAGTTATTGTCCGAAAACTGGAAAATCCCCCTTTTTTTAATGAATAAAACCCCATAACTCGGAAACGTAAAATCTAAAATTTATAAAAAACGAAAGGGAGCTCACGTCAATAGATATAAACAATTCACCAAAGTTTTATGCAAATTGGTTAAAGCGTTTTTGAGTTAATGTCCGACATGTTGACAACGGACGGACAGGCGGACAACGGTATACCATAATACGTCCCTAATTCCTAAAATATTGAGGCAATTACCCCCATCATCAATCCCAGCCTTCCCTTTGTGGTATGGTACCTTGCAGTACAATTTCAGAGAGATCCATACACTTGAACACAAGTTATTGTCTGGAAACTAGAAATTGCTTATTTTTGGCCCCTTTTTGGCCCCAAATTCCAAAACGTTTAGGACAATTACCCCCAAACTCAATTCCAGCTTTCCCTTTGTGATATGGAACCTTGTAGTACAATTTCAGAAAGATCCATACACTTACACACAAGTTATTGTAATGAAACTAGAAAAATGCTTGTTTTTTGCCCCTTTTTTTGCCCCTAATTCCTAAAATTTGGAGACAATTACCCCCAAAATCAATCCCAGCATTCCTTTTGTGATATGGAACCTTGTGGTACAACGTCAGAGAGATCCATATACTAACACACAAGTTATGTCTGGAAGTTACAAAAATGCTTATTTTTGGCCCCTTTTTGGCCCCTAATTCCTTTACTGTTGGTACCATAACCCCCAAAATCAATCCCAAGCTTCCTTTTGTGGTATTGAACCTTGTGGTAAAACTTCATAGAGATCCATTCACTTAAACTAAAGTTAGAGTGCGAAAACCAATGTGTCTTCGGACGACGCCAGACGACGACGACAACCACGACGACAACGTCATACCAATATACGACCACAAAAATTTTTTGGCGGTCGTATAAAAATGGGTCAAAGTCTCAAATGGCTGTGTTGCAATATTTGTGAATAAACTGTTCTGAAAAAGTTCTCAAGTCTGGTAAAATGAGGAAAAAATCCTTCAATTTAGCTTCAACATATGTGCAATCTTCCTCTGAAGTTTCAGGAATCTGGGTTGAAAACTGTAGGAGTTGCTTACAAAAAAATTAATTCTACACTCTTTCATAAATTTTGCTGAAAAAAACACTTTAGCATGATAGTACTAAGTCAGTTATTGCATAGGCTTAAATACATGACAAAATAAGCTGTTAACAGAGATATATGTCTCGCCTTTTTGTTATTTTGATAGTTATATGCAAATGTTGAAATTAAAATTGCATACTTTTAACGAGTAAGTTATCTAATATTCAGTCAATGAACCATGACTGAAGGTACAGGGTCAAATAATCTCCATGGATATGAGATATGACAATGCTAATACAACTGCATACCAAATATCAGTGACCTACATGTACCACTAGTCATGCTAGTGGTTCCCAATAAACAGACCTAATCACAAACTAATACATGTAATCTAAGCAAAAGTTTCAAAGTCAATAGACCATGACTGAGGGGTAGGGCCAAATAATCTCCATGGAAATAAGATGTGCCAGTGCTAATATAACTGCATACCAAATAACATTTTGACCTTTCACTAGTAGTTCCTCATAAACTGACTTAATCACAGACAAATACATGTAAACTGAGCACAAGTCCCAAAGTCAATAGACCATGACTGAGGGGGAGGTGCCAAATAATCTCCATCAAATGAGATTTGCTAATGCGAATACAACTGGATACCAAATATCATTGACCTACCACTAGTGATTCCCATATAAAATGACCTAGTCACAAACTAATACATTGTTGATGCCGTGGCCTTAACAGTATATGTACTTAAGTTTCGCTTTTTGACTATGTCAAGGTTAGACAAAAAAACTTGTTAAATGTATACTATTCAAAATCTTAAAAAGCTACAAATACTATTGTTTAAAAAGAACTTTCAGCACTGAAAAACATGATTATTAAGTTATCTTTATTTGAATGAAATTCATTGTATTAAAAGGTTCTCCTACCTGGAGGCTTATACTCAATAGAAGTGAATACAATGGCCATCATTTGTAATCAGAAGTGTGACACAACAGACAATTTTTAAAAAATGTCTGATTTTAAAAAAATTTAAAGGTTTCAAGTAAAAAAATGTTTTCTAATGAGTTCATTACATTTTCTTCTTTCTGTAAATTATGGTTTTTATCATGGAACTTGAAAATTAGCCCAAAATCATAATTTTAGGGCAAGAACTTCTGGAGTTTTTAACTGTTAGGTCATATTGGCATTTTAATAGATCTTGTACAGCTGATCATTTTTGCAGTTTTTACATATATATGTACAATAGTTTTCTTATTATGCAAATGTAATAGACAAAAACTTGAAAATCACTCAAAAATTGTCATTTAAGGGCCATTATTTCTATAAGGAGTCATCCAGTGGTTTAAGTCTTGTTAGTGTTTATGTAGAAATTGTATTGCTGATTATTTATCATTGTTTATTGTTTTCAAGATAATAGACAAAAACACAAAAATTGGTTTATAATTGTCATTATAGGAAATTGATCATGAATCACCTGGTAATAATGGTGGAAATGGGTAGTAGAAAGATCTTGACATTCTTATTATTTTACCCTGCAGCAGTTTTTCTCTATTATGGTTTTCAAGATCTTAGCTAGACAAATAATGCATTTTACCCATTATGTTCTATTTACAAGAACAAATACACAAACTTTATATATACTAGTTACCCAAAGGATCATTCAATTTAAGTTTGGTTGAAATTTGTCCATGGCCAGTAGTAAGGACAATGGAGGCCAAGTGACCTAAAAATCAAAAGTGTTCAAATAGTTTTAAATGATTCTTGTGAAAAGTGTTTTTAAATACTAACCTGCATGTGATGCTAATTCTGTTGGCATAGTACCATCTGTTATCAATGATGTCCATTTCTGTGTAGTGAAGTTAAATTTCCATAGCTTCAAACAGTTAATGATAATTATTAAACATACATTAAATTAAATCCTAGAGCCTTTGGTTTTGGTGACAATAATAAAATAAGAAGAAGGCAATAAATTCTATATAAAGAGGACTGACAGTTTTTGTAGATCTTGTCATGCAGATCATTTGTTGCATTTTCTCTTTATATGACCGCAAAAAAATTTTGCGGTCGTATATTGGTATCACGTCGTCATCATTGTCGTCGTCGTCATCAGTGTCTTCCTAAGACATTTGGTTTCCAGATAATAACTTTAGTAAATGTAAATAGAAATCTATGAAATTTAAACACAAGGTTTATAACCACAAAAGGAAGGTTGGGATTGATTTTGGGGGTTATAGTCCTAACAGTTTAGGAATTAGTGGCCAAAAAGGGGCCCAAATAAGCTTTGGGGGGTTATGGCTCAAACCGTTTAGGAATTAGGGGCAAAAAGGGGGAAAACAAGGGTTTCCTGGTTAATGGACACTTGAACACAAGTACTAGTTATTGTCTGGAAACTAGAAAAATGCTTATTTTTGGCCCCTTTTTGGCCCCTTATTCCTAAACGTTTTGGGCAATTACCCCCAAACTCAATTCCAGCTTTCCCTTTGTGATATGGAACCTTGTAGTACAATTTCAGAAAGATCCATACACTTACACACAAGTTATTGTCATGAAACTAGAAAAATGCTTGTTTTTTGCCCCTTTTTGGCCCCTTATTCCTAAAATATTGAGGCAATTACCCCCAAAATCAATCCCAGCATTCCCTTTGTGATATGGAATGTTGTGGTACAATGTCAGAGAGATCCATACACAAACACACAAGTTATTGTCTGGAAGTTACAAAAATGCTTATTTTTGGCCCCTTTTTGACCCCTAATTCCTTAACTGTTGGTAACATAACCCCCAAAATCAATCCCAACCTTCCTTTAGTGGTATTGAACCTTATGGTAAAACTTCATAGAGATCCATTCACTTAAACTAAAGTTATAGTGCGAAAACCAATGTGTCTTCAGACGACAACGACCATGACGAGGCCAACGTCATACCAATAAAAATTATGTTTGTGGATAAGATTGGTTCCAATTGGCCCAGTAGTTTTTAGAGAAGAATATTTTTGTAAATGTTAATGGACCCTAAATGACAAAAATAGCTCACTTGACAGGTGAGGTGAGCTAACTAGAGCCTGTATCTTCAACAATGGCCACTTTATGGTAAAATTCCTCAATTACAAGCTTAAGGAATAACTCTATAAAGAGTAAACTCTGGGTCATGTTAACATATTTGTAGATCTTGTCATGCTGATCATTTTTGCTATTTGATTTTTATATCTATATAGTCATGATAGTATAGTATAATATTGTTTTCAAGAGTAAAGGCAAACTCATAAAAATTTGGTAAATTCAGATTTAAGGGCCATTACTCCTAGCTTATAAATACAAATGTAGCTGACCAATGATTTCAGCAATATCAACTCAATAGTAGATCTTGTCTTGCTAAACATGTTTGCAATTTAAAGTTTCTATCTCCATGGATCTAATATAGTTTCAACATAAAGAGAGGCAAAGATACTAAAGGGACATTCAAAAATAAATTGAAAACACCATGGCTAAAAAAGAAAAAAATCCAGCAGACAAACACAACATAGAAAACTAAACTGACCAACCCGAACCCCACCAAAAATGGGGGTGATCTCAGGTGCTCCGGAAGGGTAAGCAGATCCTGCTCCACATGTGGCACCCGTGGTGTTGCTCATGAAAGTACAAACCCCCGTGATTTATCATTGGAGTCTAATTCGGTGGGTCACATTCAGGGAAAAGGGGACAACTTTGTTGTAGATCTTGTCTTGTTGATAATTTTTGCTTTTTTAAGTTTCTGTTTTAGTTTCAAGATAATACATTGAATAGGCAAACATGAAAAAAATTGGTAAAATTCATCATTTATGTGCAATAGCTCCTATTAGAGGTCGTCTGACAGTTTTGATGTAAATGGACATTAAATAAAATCTCATCATACTGAACATTTTTTCCCTGTTAGATTTTCTCTGATCTATAGCGGTTTTCAAAATAACAGACAAAACTTGCATTTTACCCCTATGTTCTAATTTTAGCCATGGCGCATGTTGGTTGACTTGCAAGTTCATCCGATACATTTTTAAACTGGATACCATAATGATGATTGTGTCTAAGTTTGGTTCCAATTAGCTTAGTAGTTTCAAAGGAGAAGATCTTTGTAAAAAATAAAGGACGACAGACACCAAGTGATGGGAAAAGCTCACACTAGCCCTTTTAGCCAGGTGAGCTTAATGTGACATCATTGCTCAAGATTTTTTGGAATTATATTTTCTTGAAATCAAAGACAGTCCTTGAACCAATAAAACTTCAAAGTCTGGAGACTGCATAATATCAATCCTTAGTTCATCAGCACAGGCACTTGTCTCAGAAAAAAAATTTCCTATATACCTTAATATAACAGTGTTATATTAAGGTATATAGGAAATTTTTTTTCTGAGACAAGTGTTATATATTAAGGTATATAGGAAATTTTTTTCTGAGACAAGTGCCTGTGTTCATCAGTTACATTTTTTTTTACATGTAAGTTGGAGAATAAAAAAACGTCTGGAAAATTGGACAAAATTAATAACAGATTAAAAACCAATTGTAGGAATGTGATACAAAAATTTAACAATACTTTTAGATATTTGGATGATATATTGGCTCTCAATAATGACGACTTCAGTATGTATACTAAAGAAATTTATCCTGTTGAACTTACTTTAAATAAAGCTAATACTAACAATAACCACTGTCCTTTCCTCGATCTTGATATCTATATCTTTAACGGGAAGCTTAATACAAAAATTTATGATAAAAGAGATGATTTTTCATTTCCTATCGTTAATTATCCATTTTTAGATGGTGACGTTCCCTTGTCACCATCTTATGGTGTTTATATATCTCAACTTGTACGATTCGCTCGTGTATGTAACAACGTATTAGATTTTAGCGAGAGAAATTTATGTATTACTGAAAAATTATTACACCAGGGTTTTTGATATCATAAACTACTAGTCAAAACATTTACTAAATTTTATTATCGGTATAAGGACATCATGGGTAAATATAACTCAACATACAGATATCTTATACGTTTGGGTATTTCACATCCAATCTTTTATGGTAATATTCTTTACAAAGCACAAAAATGTCAGTATTCACCTCAAAAGCTAACAAAACCTTTAAACAGACTTATTAAGAAGGGATATAGTTACGATACTGTTGTCAGGTCATTAAAGATTGCATATTTTGGCTTTAATATTAATTCACTTATAGGGTCTTTGCATCGGAATTAAACACATTTATTCTAAAACCAGTTGTTGGCATGACACGGGTTATGTTCTTCTCATATATTTTATGACGGTATAATACTAAACCCCTAACAGGAGGGATTGTGCCTGATATTCATATGATGAAGACATAATCTTTTAATCAGTTTAATTGAGGTCTGGAGCTGGCATGTCAGTAACTGCTAGTAGTCTGTTGTTATTTATGTATTATTGTCATTTTGTTTATTTTCTTTTGTTTCCTATTCTGACATCGGACTCGGACTTCTCTTATACTGAGTTTTACTGTACGAACTGTTGTGAGATTGTTTTTTCTACATTGGCTAGAGGTATAGGGGGAGGGTTGAGATCTCAAAAAACATGTTTAACCCCGCCGCATTTTTGCGCCTGTCCCAAGTCAGGAGCCTCTGGCCTTTGTTAGTCTTGTATCATTTTTAATTTTAGTTTCCTGTGTATAATTTGGAGTTTAGTATGACATCCATTATCACTGAACTAGTATACATATTTGTTTAGGGCCCAGCTGAAGGACGCCTTCGGGTGCGGGAGTTTCTCGCTGCATTGAAAACCCATTGGTGGCCATCGGCTGTTGTCTGCTCTATGGTCGGGTTGTTGTCTCTTTGACACATTCCCCATTTCCATTCTCAATTTTATCTACATACAAAACATGTATGTGTATAACAATAATATTTAGTTGGGTTTTACTTTATTGACAGCAATATTTATAATATTCATACTGATAAAAACAATATTCAAAGATCTAATTACAGTGTTCAAGTGTGACCCTTACATTGTAAGTTTATTTAAAGGATCAATTATGTTAAAAGAAGACGTTTATCAACATTCAGGAAACTTTTTTTAGTATTAAAGTATCATTTTATTAAAAAAATTAATCTTATTAATTGAAAATATCACTATCAGACAACTAGAAGTGGAAGTGGGGCTGAATAGGAGCATGTGAGGCCCTAATAAAAAATTATCAGCACAGGGCACACATGGAGAATTTGACAACAGCAAAATGAACAGGTTATCAGTCTGTATATGCTGATATGGGCTGTATTACCTATAGATGCAAAATGTGTCATATTCTTGTTAAGTACAAAAAAAATGTATGTGATAATTTCAGATGAAGTGTAAAAAAAGAAATACCATGATTTATCAATATTTCAGGGAAATAGAAACTTTTTTTCTTGCTGACTTAATTATATCAAACATTATATCATGCATGCATATATGTCTCTATGTTTTACTTCAATATATATCATGTATATATTAACAAGTCTAAATTGAAAACAACGTTCAAAGAACTTCAAACCTATGATTGCGTTGGATAAAAACCGCAATTTTTATACGTGTGCATGCAAAACAAATTTCTGGGTAGAGGGTCTAAATACAGCACAAACAACATTTTCCAAAAGACCAAATGAGTGAAAAAGTATATTTTAACAAAACGTATTTGTTCATGACTAGCAGGTCAAACAACTGATGTTCTTAAACCCTGCTGACTGCCATTGGCGATTGCCAAATAAATGGATCACAAGATGTAACAAAATAAACCTTATCATTAATTTATTACCAAACAGAAAACAATAAACTTGCGGAGAAGATGGTATACTGCAAACATGAGGTGCAAAAATTTGTACACCATATCCGGATTTCGACAATTAATGTCTCTTCAGTGATGTTAGGAATCAACGGTATTTGGAAGGCCATATAATTTACCTCAAAATGATTTAGGATAGACTCTTGAATTTTGAAAGAGTCAAAATAGGATGAACTGATCATATAAACCTGAAGGCAAATATAATACAAGCCCAAACGAAAAAATATAAACAAGTCTAAATTGAAAACGTTCAAACCTATGATTGCGTTGGATAAAAACCGCAATTTTAATACGTGTGCATGCAAAACAAATTTCTTGGTAGAGGGGTCTAAATACAGCATGTATATTATATATATTACCTCTTTGAATAAAGGGTAATATGTGTCTGAAGAATTTTCTACATGTCTAAAGCGAGGATTATAACCACCCAACACATACATATTACTATCATCTACTACAGCTCTGTGTCCACTTCGTGGATACAGTTTGTCCATGTCTACAAAATAGAAAGAAATACATAAAGGGTCAATTTCTCCCGAATTTATTTCACACTGGGGCTACTTTTAGGAACTCTCCCTTTCTTATTCAAATACGGTTCAAGCAAATTGGTTAACAAGCAGCATGTACATTTGTACATGTAACAGTCAGCTATTTTTCCTTCAAAGTGATATCGCCATTTTATTTCATGTTTGTCCATGCGATTACCCACCATTTACGACTCTCTTTAAATCATTTTTGATTGCAAGGTTAGAAACTGCCACAAAAAGGGAAAGAAGAATGTTTACACTTGTGCACATGTACAATGAAAACAAAGCAATTAAGTGGGAATAGTTTTAAGATATCAAATGATATTATCCATTTACGACCTAGATATGCCTTCTATGTACACATTGTAGTTATGTAAAAAAAAATGCAGCTAATCTGATATAAACTGCCTGTGGTGAGTAAATCTATTTACATTGAAATAGTATAAGAATTTACTGCTGACCCTTCAAGAGCACTTCGAGTTCACCACATGGTTTTTGTGGAATTTGTATTGCTGAATGCTCACTTTTCTGTATAAATGTTTTATTACATAGAAATAAGAATATGTGGTATGAGTGCCAATGAGACAACTCTCCATCCAAGTCACAATGTGTAAAAAGTAAACAATTATAGGTCAAAGTACGGCCTTCAACACGGAGCCTTGGCTCACACTGAACAGCAAGCTATAAAGGGCCCCAAAATGACTAGTGTAAAACAATTCAAACAGGAAAACAAGCATTATTGTTTGTCTTTGTCATTTTTTTTTGGGGGGGGGGGGGGGGGGGGGGGGGGGGCATAATGTTGTCTGTTTTAATTGGACTGATGATTTTGACCTCAATATGAACCAATTTGATAACGGGGTCCACAAATAAAAAATCTAAATACATGGTTAGATTCAGCATATCAAGGAACCCCATATATTCAATTGTTGTTGAAATCAAACAAAGTTCAATTTTGGACCCCAATTTGGACCAACTTGAAAACTGGGCCAAAAATCAAAAATCTAAATAAATGTTTAGATTCAGCATATCAAATAACCTCATATATTCAATTTTTGCTAAAATCAAACAAAAAAAAAAGATGCAACATTTGCAGATATTTTTACTAGTCTTCCTTTATAAATATGCATTTCTTTAAACATAATTTAAAAGCAGTGTAAGGGAAGTAACCAAAACGTTGTATTTGGATTACCTCCCTTACACTGTTTTAAATTATCTTTATTGTTCATTAACCATTACTTTATACATAATTTAAAAGCAGTGTAAGGGAGATAATTTTAATGATGTATTTGATTTATCTCCCTTACACTGCTTTAAATTATGTTTTGTACTAAAGTATTTGTCCATTAACCAGGACAATCTTGTTTTTCCCCCTTTTTTGCCCCTAATTCCTAAACGGTTTGAGCCATAACCCCCCAAAGCAAATCCTAACCATCCCTTTGTGGTATGGAAACTTGTAGTATAATTTCAGAGCGATCCATACACCGTTCCACAGTTATTGTCTGGAAACTAGAAAATGCTTATTTTTGGCCCCTTTTTGGCCCCTAATTCCTTAACTGTTGGTACCATAACCCCCAAAATCAATCCCAACCTTCCTTTTGTGGTATTTAACCTTATGGTCAAATTTCAAAAAGATCCATTTACTTAAACTAAAGTTAGAGTGCGAAAACCAATGTGTCTTCGGACGACGACGCCGGACGACGACGACGCCAACGTCATACCAATATACGACCACAAAATTTTTTTGCGGTCGTATAAAAATCACTGTATGTCCTCATCAATGAGACAATCACTGAAATGCATGGGTATGGACTTGTTTGCACAACTTGTATTAAAACAGATACAATTCTTAATTCTTTAAGTTGTATTTTAAAAGGACTTTTATTAAATAGGGCAATAGTTGGTATGCAAAGGGACAACAAACTTGCTATTACCCGCACAACCAGTCATTAGGTGTTTTATTATACTGAACAACACAATCATTAAGTGTTTATCATACCAATCTAACTAACTTTCTATGTTGTCCCTTTGCATACCAACTATTGCCCTCGGCTTCGCCTCGAGCAATAGTTGGTATCTCAGGGACAACAAACTTGCTATTACCCTCACACCCAGTCAATAGGTGTATACTATTGATACAACATAGCTTTTGCTCATTGTTAACAGCCGAAAAATAACCTTGTGGTGTTTAAATCCTTGATCTTTTTTCTGTGGTTGATTGGCCATCATACCAGATCTCATTAATTTTTTTTATTGTGAACCTATTTTAACAGTGTAAAATGGTACTGTATTACAAGATGTATAGAATCTATAAGATGTATAAAATGATTTGTGATGTGAAATTTTTTAGTTTAACAAGACGAATTTGGCTTAAATTATTGTAAAATACAATATTGTTTTTTTAGCCAATAAAGATACATGTATATAAATACATGTATATATGCTGTAATTCCATATATGCTATAAAAAAACATGTGCTTGTACATACATGTAGATAACGTGCATCAAACAATATTGCAACAAAAGAAATATTAAGTACATGTATCTGAATTTCATATCATGGCTATTCGTTGAAAAAACATGATATTTTCTTTAAAGCATTGCAAATTGCTTGACTTTATAATCATGATAATATGTTATTGAAAAGCGCAAACTTCCTTGGGATGTGACGTATATATAGATTCTACCACTGCATTAAGTGTGATATGATATTTCTCTACTTGAAACAGCTAAATTTTCAAAATAAAAATGCGAGGCTCGCTGAGCTTTTTAAATACTAGAAAACACCTGCGACATCGCGGATCCGTGACTTAATTAAAGTACCTACGCCTTACTTTAAGCCTGGATTTTTAGTATTCGTATTGTCATCTGATAAAGTCATGCTGATTATAAGGTGCATAGTTTTCTCTGCTATCAAATTCTTTCTGTTTGAACCCATCTTGGTTTTCTTACTACAACCGGAAAATTCATGTGACAGATTGAATTGAGTAGTATTTCACGGGCAGTACGTCAACTGACCATGCGCGAAAGCGTATAAGACACGGATCAATAACTGTCTCCGAATTTGGATATTTTCTCAAAAATTGGGGTTTTCTGTGGAAAAAAGATTGTTCATAGACAAATTTAGGAAGTACAAAACACTACATTTATACGTCATATCACAAATATTTCCGATTTTTGATGGTTTCAGAGGAGTTGCTGCTCAATGAAATCGGTCTCTTCCTTCAGTAGTATAGATTTAAAATTTTACTCCTGAAAGTGGAGACATATAATCATTTTGCAAGAAGATTTGGTGGTATAATCTGTTTCTCTAATGATTTTTGACAATATGCAGACAAACTTAATCCTTCTTTTTCAATGATTTGCAAAAAGATGTGTTCCTTCTATGTAAGGCATGGTAGCCTTTTTTTATAACGCCACAATGGGCAATTAAGAGGAAAGCAAAAAATTTGCTGTCATAATTGAATTTTGCCCAAAGAAGAACAGATCAAACAGACCACAAGTTGATTAAATAAAAATAATCAACAGATCTGGAAAAGGATAAATTAGTTAGATATAGGAAGATGTGGTATGAGTGCCAATGAGACAACTCTCCATCCAAGTTACAATTAGGTAAGAATTAGAGAAACTACATGTACATTATGACGTTATGTGATGTCATATGAACATGTGTCTTTCTATGTTGTGATGTTACACTATTGTTTCAGAAAAAGGGTGAAGGTTTGGTACCATTAAAACGTTTAAACCCGCTGCATTTGTTTGCACCTGTCCTAAGTCAGGAATCTGATGTTCAGTAGTTGTCGTTTGTTGATGTGGTTCATAAGTGTTTCTCGTTTCTCGTTTTTTATATAGATTAGACAGTTGGTTTTCCCGTTTGAATGGTTTTACACTAGTTATTTTTTGGGGCCCTTTATAGCTTACTGTTCGGTGTGAGACAAGGCTCCGTGTTGAAGACCATACTGTGACCTATAATGGTTTACTTTTATAAATTTTGACTTGGATGGAAAGTTGTCTCATTGGCACTCATACCACATCTTCTTATATCTATGATGAACAGAAGAACATTATTTTTGAGAAAAAAATAAACATCTTGACTTTGTATATCAGTATATCTTTAAAATATCAATATTTCACTGCAACCTGCTGTTATATGCAAGATTTTATAACAATGTTCTACTGCTCCTATGTTGTACTTAAATTATGCTGTTTCTGGACAGTGTTTTTAAATATCATAAATTTCATAACAAACTATACGATAATCACATCGGCCCAAAATTATATATCAAGCCATATATAGGCTTTTAGGGCTGGTCGAGTCCGTGTCCAAACAGGTCAGTTTAGGATCAGCTTTTAACGAACAAAATCAATTTTATATACGAAAAATACTTCAAATACATTGAGATAATTTTACCTATATCATTAGGATGTACATTTTCATTTTCGACGTCTTCATCCTGTTCTACAGGACCTACAGTTTGAAACTTCTGAACTGTCAATGCCATCGTTGTTTACTTTTCGACTTACAAGCGTATTAAGGACAAACTGTCAAGTGCATACAAGATAATGATCCCGATTAATACACATCTAATAATCATTTTTGTCCCAAAAAATACATAAAAAGAATCGAGATCCAAAAAATGTTTTTACTTAGCTAGCATATTTTAAAACGAACATTTTGATATGCGAATGATGAAATTCGGTCTAAAAATTAATTTTTATGATGATTTTCCAGTTTTCAGCACTTTTTCATCTAAATTACCGTTTTTGCCCAAAATTTCAGATTGTAGACATTTTCGACCCGGCAAGACTGGCTTGAATAATACTGACATCAAAACGAACAATTTGATTTATAACAACCTTTGTTTTACTGCTCCTTAATTAGAGCACTTTTTGATGTATAGCTGCTCTACTATAAGCTTTAAAAAAAAGCTTGTCTAATCGGAAAAGGAAAACTCGTCCCACTCATCTCGGACCCTCAAACTCGTCCCTCCCCCTTTCCACCAGTTTAATTCCCTTTTTGAGCCAACTTGCCCCATCTTTGAAAAGCTTAGACTTGTATCAAATCTTTAGTGAGAGGGTAGGTGTACTTACTTGTCAACAGAACAGGAAAGATCCAATGACGTCACCTTATATACGGGTCTCTCTATCTTGGGAACAGTATATCAATATATGTTCCTGCTATGTCTATATTGGTCCGTGTAACACTTATCAATTCAAACTTCAAAAAAGTTTTCAAATTTAATTTTTTGGATTTTTGATCAAAGTTTTAAAATATCAAAATTCCAAATTTTTTTTTTTTTAAATTTCACCAAATAATTAAAATTTTAAAATTATAAACTTCGTTTTAAAATTTAATAGTTTAAATATTTAAGCAAACTTTAGAAATACTGAACTGAACGTACAGTTTTGATCATTTCGCTTTTTGAAAGTTTGAATTTATTGATTTTTTATTAAAATATAGGAAAGGGGGAAAGGACTAAAAATTGGATACCTGTTACAAGTACGAAACAGAATAAGAATGGAAAGAAACAAAGTGAAATTTACCAAAAACAAATCAAAACGAAAACAATGTTTTCTGAAAAACTAAATATATTAAAAATTATAAAACAAGAGGCTAACTTGTGACCTACCGAATTACTTATTACCGCGTTTGTAATAACATGAGCAACAAAACGGGTGACACATGTGGAGCAGGATCTGCTTACCATTACGGCGCACATGAGATCTCCCCGAATTTTTCGATGGGTTCGTGTTGCTCAGTCTTTAGTTTTCTATGTTGTGTTTTGTGTACTATTGTTTGTCTATTGGTCTTTTTCTTTTTTAGCCATGGCGTTGTCTGTTTATTTTCGACATATGAGTTTGAATGTCCCTCTGTTATCTTTCGCCCCTCTTTTCTTTGATATACAGGATGAAAATGAGAAATATGTTTCTTTAAGTCGAAAAAATAATTAGTAAGACCTGATTTTGACACACTTTGATTCTCTAACTAAATGAATAATATGCAGAAAATACTTGCCGACTTTGCGATTACTGCTATTTTTTAATAGCGAATAAAAGGAAACGGGATATTCGATTTTTGAAATAAGGGATAGTTCCGTATTTGTCATTTGCACTTTTGTAAGTTATCGTGCGACAATCAACTTTGAGTAAAATACAAATACGCAGCCACGTCCAGTCAGAATTGGGCGTGTAGAGAGAGTGCACGTTACGAACCGTTACATCAACTCTTAGAGTGGTTCGTTGATTGCAGAATTTCTGTCCCTATCCAAAATACCCTCATTTTCCAGTGGTGATCTAAATTTTCCGACCTTTATCCCGAACGGACTCTATAACAGGACCTATAGCTACCTATTGTATTTATTGTTAATTTGTTATAGTCCTGAACATGCATGAAATATTTGCCACTGGCAACCAACAATCAATCATTTAAAATAGACCGTTTATATATAAATTATAAAGAAACTCAGGTTTCAATTCCCTCGCGCAAAGTTTCCCTTAGATGGATTTTGCTATTTTCAATGTCCCTTTTGGCCATACACCTCTTCAATTGTTTCGATTCTTATATCTACTTGGCTTCCAAATATTCAGCTGTGAGCGTTCCGGATGTAGGTAAATATAGAAAAGCGCTTCGGACGCATGCAGTCAAGTGTTGTTTAAATTTTTATTGGATATTCCATTCACTTAAATTTTACTGTCAATATGAAATAGTACATGGGCGGACTAAGGTTTTTGTTACTGTAATCTTATTTATTGAGGGGAGTTCTCTTTTAGTAGAACATTTGTTTTTGTATTATTTTTTTTCCCTGATTTTTCACTGCTATTCCTTAGTTTTCTTATCCCTATTTTTAAAACCCATGAGTTCGACTCTGTAATATGTATCAATTATTTTATTATTGACCGTAAATACAAAGTTAGCATGAGATGGAATTAAAAAGACTAGGAATGTACTCGGTGCTAAAGACCGTTTTAAAAAGCACTCAGAGAATTCTTATATATCGTAATACTGCAAGGTTATTCTAAAATATTTTCAGTACAGAAAATTAACATTTAATTGAAAAAAGGTTAAGTTTGATCAATATTGAAATATATGTTTTGACTTCATGGGAATATATAATACATGTATTGTTCTTCACTTTAGATAACAGTTGACATCTAGAAGAAAGAAAAAACCACAGTTTTTAATGCAAAGAATGCCTTTTTTCGTATTCATAATTTCTTTAAAAAAAAACCGGCCCCATTTGTTAAAAAACTAGGACGTTTTAAAATTTGCTCTCGAAAAACCAGGACAATGTAAAACGCTGAATGTAAGGTGGAATTCAATGATATTTTTTTGCCTTAAATATGCATAGTATTTAGAATAAGATGGACAGTCATGAATTAAACCAGTATACTTGCGAAATAGCAGGAGGGGACAAAATAAAACAAAACAAAAGCAAACGAAACGAAACGAAACGAAACTAAATGAACATGTTTAATTACCTATCAAGGTAAAAAAATAAAACAAGAGACAGACGGGCATCAAAGCGGAGAAAATTGAATAAAACAAATAAATATTTCTATTGATTTCAAGTCGAAGTATTGGTACGGTAGATGAAATACCGAATCAGTGGTGTCGCAATGAACGTCACCTCAAATGTGGGAGGTTGTGGATTGGTTTTTTATATATAAGTATCTGCTTTACACTCCTTATCCGTTATACATGCTGTCTTTAAGATTTCGATCAATTCAATTATTAGAAGCTTGGAGCCAGGATAATGCTAAGAGGTAGACCATTTATATCAAACTCAGCGTGATAGTTTTCTGAAAGTTTAAATTCATACCACATAAACATATCACATAAACATTTCAGTCTGAATATCCATGTAATAGTTTCCGCTGTACATTAAGCGCCATTCTATCCATATGAGCTGTGGGCATTTTGATTAATGCGTGCCCTCAGTTTTAATTACACGAGCAACACCATGCAATGTTAATGATAATGAAATATTTGTTTGTGTTGTCATAAGTTTGTGTATGCGATGTTTTCTCTCTCTTTGAGAGGCTTGCAGATACTTAGCCTGTTGCCCAGTCCAATTTAATATATTTTAAAATAGAAAAACACATTGTTAAATAAAACCGCAATTTAAATGATATAATGTTTTATATTAAGTTCACATCACCGATACACATTTTAGAAAGTTGAAGTGACCAATTTTTATGGTAAATTACGTTGGTTGATTTTTGTCATATATACTTTTCCTTTATTGATTTAGCATCATTTTGGTCGTTGGTTGTCTTATTTTATTTAAAGACCTGTAAAACTATAGGTACAGTGCACGGTTGAGATATTGTGTTTTTGAGTGCCATATTAAATACGATCAGATCGATTAACTGCTATTTCGCAAGTATAATGGTTTATTCATGACTGTTCATCTTATTCTGAATGCTATATATATTTAAGGCAAAAACTATTTCTTTGAATTTGATTTAAAATTCAGCGTTTTACATTTAGGCCGTTTTTTGGTTTTTTTTTTTTTTTTAAGAAAACGTGAATACGAAAGAAGGCATTCTTGGTATTTAAAACTGATTTTTTTTCTAGAAAGTAACTGTGAAGAACAATATTATATATTCCCATGAAGTCACAAAACATAAAACAATATTGATCAAATTTAACCTTTTTCGATTTAATGTTAATTTTCTGTACTGAAAATATTTTACAATAACCTTGCAGTATTAAGATTTATAAGAATTCTCTGGGTGCTTTTTAAAGCGGCCTTTAGAACCGAGTACAGGGGACTCATAATATTTTCAAAACTATCCCTTAATACAAAAATCGAATATCCCGTTTCCTTTTATTCGCTATTTAAAAACAAAGGCGGATTTAGGGGGCCCAACCGGGACCCGCCCACCCTTAATGGAGCTACATATATGATAAATGCATATATTTTTTACAAGCGTCAGTCCAAACGTTGGGTAACTAGGCCCCCTCCTTTTCAAATTCCTGGATCTGTACCTGAAAAAAAATGTACCATTATTGAAGCCCCTCGTGAAGGTATCCAAGTCAAATATACAGACATATACTATTAATTACCACATTTAGAGCAGTAACCACAAAGTCGACAAGTAATTTCTACGGAAGCACAGAGGGGACCTACAAAAAAAAAATATATCGTTATCTCAATATATACATCGTTATTTCGATATAATTAAATCGTTATCTCGATATATTTATCTCGTTATCTCGATATTTATATCGTTATATCGATATATTTATTTCGTTATCTCGATATAATTATATCGTTATCTCAATATATTTATTTCTTTATCTCGATATAATTATATCGTTATCTCGATATTTATATCGTTATTTCGATATTTATATCGTTATATCGATATTTATATCGTTATCTCCATATATTTATTTCGTTATCTCTATATAATTATATCGTTATCTCGATATAATTAAATCTTTATCTCGATATATAGTTAAGGTGGGGTTGGGTTATTGCACCTTTTTTGCAAATAACTCAAAAACTTATACATATATCAAAATTCTAGCAGAGGGTAAAATTGATTAGTACATAATGATCTGTATCTGCCAAATT